TTTAAGAGGTTAGGGGAAAAATCCTTCATTTCCAAATAAGCAAGAGGAAGTTGTAACTGGACTTTACCACAGGGTCACAATTTCTGCCTTGGGGTAAGTAACACTAGGGTCAGAATTCTCCTCTCCTTACTAGGCAATTACTTAGTGTTCTCTATAGGGGATAAAATTTCTAATCCTTGAGTAAGCAGCAGTGGGAGAGCTCAGCGGATGACTATGGGGCATTTCTTTCAGGTCCAGAGCTACAGGCTGTGGGAAATGTTCTTTCCCAAGGACCTGGGGCTTATGTAATAGGGAACAAAAGCATGAAAACCACTTTGACCAAATTCCGTCTATTGGTTCCTGAAATATACACTTTACTGCAATTATAAGGAACAAAATGCTATTGAGTCAGAGAAGGGAGGGCATCCCAAATCTGACAGGTGGGGAATAGATCTGTCAACATGCTGTGTACTGGTATTCATCTTGCACAAGTGAAACTTTGTACCCTTTGACCAACATCTCCCCTTTCCCCCTACCTCTTCAGTCCTCAGTAATCACTATTCCACTCTCTGCTTGTATGAGTCTGACATTTTTAGATTCAACATATAAGTGAGATAATACAGTATTAGTCTCTCACTGCCCCTCCCCCATTTAAGCTCTGCCTCTCTGTCTCTCTGTCTCTGCATCTCTCTCAAAAATAAATAAACATTGGGGCGCTTGGGTGGCTCAGTCGGTTAAGCGTCCGACTTCGGCTCAGGTCATGATCTCGCGGTCCGTGAGTTTGAGCCCCGCGTCGGGCTCTGTGCTGACAGCTCAGAGCCTGGAGCCTGCTTCCGATTCTGTGTCTCCCTTTCTCTCTGCCCTTCCCCACTCACACCCTCTCTCTCTGAAAAATAAACATTAAAAAAAATAAAAAAAAATCATTGCACAGACCTATGTCAAGAAGCTGCTTATGTTTTCTTCTAGCAGTTTTATAGTTTCAGGGCTTACATTTAAGTATTTCATTCATTTTGAGTTGATTTTTGTATATAGAGTGAGAAAAGGATCCAATTTCATTCTTCTGCATGTGGATATACAGTTTTCCCATTCATGGTAAAAACTCTTAGCAAGTTAGGAATAGAGGTTTACTATATTATTTGATAAGTAGCATCTACATAAACCAAGTAGCATCTACAAAAACCTATAGCTAATGTCATACTAATGGTGGAAGACTGAATCCTTTACCCTAAAATCAAGAAACAAGGCAAGATATTAGTTTCATCACTTTCATTCAACATAGTTGAGAAATACAGTCACTGCAGTAAGGTAAGTTAAAGAAATAAAAGGCATACACTGGAAAGGTAGATATAAAGCTGTCTCTATTTGCTGATGACATGATTGTTTTCAGGGAAAATTGCAAGGAATCTTCAAAAATAATGCTTAGAACTAGTGAGTCCTGTAAGGTTGCAAGACTTAAGATCAACATACAAAATGTAATCACATTTCTGTACACTAATGATGAGGATATAGAAACCAAAATTAAAAGCACAATATTATTTATAAACCACTCCAAAGAAAATAAAATGTTTAGCTATGCACTTAATAAAAGGAGGATATGCATGCTGAAAATTGTAAAATTTTGATAAGAGAAATCAGAATTCTAAGACCTAAATAAATGGAAATACCACGTTCATGAATTGGAAGATTCAACATAATAAAGATATTAACTTTTCATAAGGTTCTATAGATTAATGTAATTTATATCAAAATATCAGGAAGTGTTTTTTGTAGACACAAGCTTATTCTAAAATTTATATGGAAAGTCACAAGATCCTGAAAAGGGAGAATAATGTTGGAGAATAAAGAGTTACTTTATCTGACATTAAAGCCTACTATATAGTTTCAGTAATCAAGAGTACGTGGTATTGGTGGAGGATAAGATACACAGAGAAAAATGGAACAGGATAGAGAACTTAGAAATATACCCTGACTAATATGGGTTTGGATAGAGGTACAAAAATATAGATTAAAAATGTTTATTTATTTTGAGTGTGTATGTGTGAGAGAGAGAGGGCGGGGAGGGACAGAGAGAGGGGAAGAGACAGAATCCCAAGCAGGCTCCATACTGTCAGTGCAGAGCAAGATGCTGGGCCCGAACCCACCAATCTTGAGATCATGACCTGAGTCAAAACCAAGAGTTGGATGCTTAACTGACTCACATCTTATAAAAAAGTCAATTCAAAATAGGTCATAGGCTTAAAAGTTAAAGCTATAAAATTTTTAGTAAAAAACATAGGAAAAAATTTTTAGAATTTGTGTTAAGCAAATATTTGACACCAAAAACATAAGAAATAAAAGGAAAAATTGATAAACCGGACTTCATCAAAAGAGGATGAAAAGACAAACTTCAGACTGGGAGAAAATATTTACAAACCACATATCTGATAAAGTTCTAGTATCTAGGATATATAAAAACTCTCATAACTTAACAGTAAAAAAACCCAAACAAGTCAATTAGAAAATGGGTGAAAGACATGAATAGACATTTCACTGAAAAGGATATAGAGATGGCAAATAAGCATGTGAAAAGATATTCAACATCATTAGCTATATGAGAAATGCAAATTAAAACCACATGAGGTAACATCACACACCTAGCAGAATGGCAAAAATAAAATAAATTTTGTCCACACAAAATGCTGGGGAGAATTCAGAGAAACTGTATCACTCATGCACTGA